AAACGCGATGCTCAAAAGGGCAAGTGTTTTCAATGATTTGCCAAGACGACATGGTGGTGGCACCTGCCCTTCGCTTTGCGTTCTACACCTCGTCGCCTCCGAGACAGGCGCCACGCCTTCTTTCGTTTTCCAAGATAACTGCCAGATAGCGCTCATGTCTCACGTTTGACGTGACTAGATGCACTCGTTCGCTTTGGCTGCACGGATCGAGACTGTCTCACGCAGTGCCTCCAGAATACAATTGACCAATTTTCTCGCCCTGAACATCGAAGAAAGATTTTGTTCACTCTCTCCAGACGCAAGACTATCGTCTTTCGGCGACATTTGAATTAAAACATGCAGATACGGGGCCAATTTTTTCAGACACCTGATGTTTTACCTCGAGCTTTAGGAGCTTTTCTCTTAAAAGGGTACGCCAGTACCTCGAGAAAAAATTCAAAAAGTTTCCCAGAGTTACTCGGAGGGCAAATCGAATCTCAGACTCCTGGACTTTCGAGGAAAGAAGCCAAATGCTTTGACCATTTCGCCGTAGAGGCACACATATTCCCACGAACGAACACATAATGCATATTTCGCATACTAACAGAAATAGAACCGCCATCTAGGAGTGACTGGTGCCGAGAAGTACTAGGCCGGGGAGTTGGAGGAGAGCATCAGCGAAGTCTTGACTATACGTTCGACCAGCAGGACAAGACGCTATATTGGAAAGCACAACCCTTTCACGCTTTCGAGGCGCGAAATACTAACTAGGCCTCTCGACATTCGTAAATCACAGTGCGTCGTACCGGGCTGCCAAAAACACTACGAAGTCGGGCAAAAGTACTCGGCAGAAATCTGGCAGGTGTTTTCAGCGTGAGCGAATCCACGACGAAGGCCGTAATACCGGCCCAACAGCAATACACCCTGCGCTAATTTTATTTCCTAATATCCAACACAGCTGCAACCACTTTTACGGAGGCAAGTTTTACTTTTGTGTTATGAATGACTCCCGTAAAAACGAGATCATTTATGTTTGTCTTGTTTTAAGTCTGCCTATACCCTGTATTTGCTTTTATATGCAACTACCATCTGAAAACAGAGAAAGTGGCATGTACACCTTTCTCCTTTAGTGTTAGAACAGTGGAAGGCAGCATGGACCTGTTGAAATATCTGCGAACACCGCCGCGGAAGAAACACCTTGCACGAAGCGCTGGTACACATCTGCCCGCATTGCGTATCGTAACAGCCCGACATGACGTGTACGCGCTGTAAGCGTGAACAGGACCTTTGCGAGGAGAGCTCTCACAGGAGTCTCTGCTGGTGCCATAGTGGTAGCGGCTGAACCAGTGATGTCGCTTCCTCTGCTCCGTGTGCACGCACGCACGCACGCACGCACACACACACACACACACACACACACACACACACACACACACACACACACACACACACACACACACACACACACACACACACACACACACGCACACACACACACACACACACACACACACACACACACACACACACACACACACACACACACACACAGCCGCATAGCTCACAGGCCGAACAGAGAAACGGAGCCTCGTCAGATCCATTGAGCCGCGGCGCCTAAAGTAGGGTTTATTGTGGCGCGCGCGCGGAGGCCTCGATTGGGGGCTTCCCGAAGCGCCGCAACTCACGACGGCCGCTTGACGAATGGCCCTTTTTTTCGGACGACCGCCCGCTCACGCCGAGCGATTGGCTGTAATGAGCCGCGTCCGAGGGCGCTGCCGCGGCGCAACCCGCGTGCTCTACCTCTTGAGGCTTTCGTCATGTATACTTTGTTAACGTAGTCCTTGCTCCCGGCTGTGCATGGACTGAGGAGGACTGATCCAGGCGCGGGGAGCCCACTGAGGTCTGATTAATTTCGTGTTTACGCATGTAACGCGTTTCGGATCACGCGCTTACTTTCCCATGAAAGGCTTGCAGCACGCCCACACATGTTTTGGAAATCTCCAATTTGCTTGTGCAAAATGTCATGGTTCGTTTAATGCTTTGCTTTTGGGCATTCGACCTTGTACCTGGTTGTTTCCGGTGTATCGGACTGGTGGGGTGGTGTGTATGGCAGTCGTCTTTGCCAAACTTGGCCCAGCTCTTGCAAGGACATTGCTTACGAGGGGCTTACACTTTTATCGGCATTAACTATTACGAACCATAATATTCGCATTTGAGCCCATAAAAGAGTGTCTCCTATAAGTCAACTCCTTCGATTTTGATTGTTATTAGACAAATAAGTTGCAACAAGAAGAAAGGTTGAAGAGGAGGAGGAAAGTTGCGTGAATAAACATAAAAAAGGAAGTGCAGACAGTTCGGTGTGTCCAGTCACGTTCGAGTAAATCATTGGCATTCATCACTGGCGTTTGCTTCTTGATAATACATCTCACCCTACGAACTTGCGAAGTGGCTGCCGACGGCAAGAACACTTCTCACGCGGAAAGATTTCGCGCTCCGCCAGCAAGCGCTGCGTTTGCGCGTTCGGTGTGCGGCAGCCGAGATTCAGCCAGGTCGGTACACCTATCAGTCGGGAAATGTGTTCCCTTCTTTCCCACCCACTGCGGCGCTATAGCAGAGCGCCCATATGGCTGCTGAGGGATTTTAGGGACCCGCCAAAGCGGATATCGGCACGCGGCTTCAATCGAGGCTTTCGTGGCGGCGCCTCTGGGGACGCCTTGATGGGCGCTATACGCGGACGGCTGGGTGTAGCCACCACGCAGGGAGAGAAGGGGAGAAGCTTCAGCCTATTTCGGGGGCCATAAACTTCTGACACGAATTCTTCGTATCGGTTGCGACTCGAGCTCTCCCTAGTTCCCATATAGGAAAATCCAGCCGCGGCAGGACCGCCCGCGCAGCCGGGCAAACAGGCGTGCGCCGCGCGCACTTCGAGCACGCTGCACAGTGAGCCGTGGGCGGTGCGCCGGTGAATCATACTCTGCAGAGTTACACGACCGGAAAGAAGAAAAAAAGGAGCCGGCCGTAAAATATAGTGACCGGAAAGATTTGTAGGTGTATATGGCAGAATAATAGAATTGGGCCACGGGTGGCTTGTTGCAGAGCAGTATAAGAAAAAGAGTGCAAATAAAAACATTCAGGCGTGACCGACTAGAAAGGAAGCAGTCTGTGGGGAACGGCATCAGAGGTGTGTTTGGCAAGAACGAAAGAAGCGCTAAATACGTGCAGTAAGCACTGCTGCTGCTTTCTTTTTCTCTTTTTGTTTCATGAACGTCTCCTCTTCTGCCATAAAAGGGTTGTACTTGGAAGAAAGAGGCCTGGGAAAGTTGGAATGGCATGGGAAACACATAAAGAAGACTAGCGAGAAAGAGAGGCGAGCGTTCGTTGGGAGGGCAGCGTCCTCCTTTAGCCTCGCTTTCGCTCTCAAGTGTCCCTCTCTCTTCGACCCCTACGTCCGTTCAAGCACCCTTGCTCTTCGTCTCCTGCGTCCATTCAAGCGTCCGCGCGGCGCCACTGCATTCGCGAAAGCCGTTCGATGAAGCGGGCTTAAGAGATGGCGTTTGTTTCTCTTTACCTTTTCCACTTCCTCGGGCGCTTACGCTGGCCTTTTATTCTTGCTAAAGCGCCTTATCTCCTCTTGTTCGCGCCTGCACTGGTGCTTCATATTTTGAAGGCAGCGGCCTCGTCTCGTCTTTCCACTCTAATCTCGGAAGGCCGCAACACCCATCACTTGCGCTCGAGGATGTCCTCTGCATGGGAAAGCAACACATGCAGGCTCGGGTTTGCCGCTTCTGTGTCTTGCCTCGCGTGGGCGGCGCCGTATTCACTTATGTACGCTCGTCTTCGTATCATTCCATTACGCGAAATGGGTTTGGAATGACGGTTGTCGATAAGATAAATCTTAATTAATATTTTTTCTGCGTTTTATTTTCTCTTGTCGAGGTGCCAAAAAACGAAGTGCGAATGAAGACCGCAGTGTCATAACATCCCCAGCAACATCTCGTTCTTGCTTCGCCGTGTGACACTTAATACAAGTGGATTAATAGATTGATATGTGCGGCTTGTCGTCCCAAAACCACCATGATTATGAGAGACGCCATAGTGTAGGGCTTCGGAAATTTTGACCACCTGGGGTTCTTCAGCCTGCGCCCAAATCTGGGCACACGGGCCTACAGAATTTCCGCCTCCATTGGAAATGCAGCCACTGCAGCCGGGATTCAATCCCGCGACCTGCGCGGGTCAGTAGCCGAGTACCTTAGCCACTAGACCAATGCGGCGGCGGCGGGGCGTTAATACAAATGGGGTGGTAAAAGCTCGACGCCTAGAAATAGAGAATTGCGTTACAATCGGGGAATGATCCTGCATATAGCTCTCATCGACGCCGCAAGATAGGTAAACTCAGTAAGCTTAACAAGTTATCATGGCCAGAAAGCTTTGACCGCTCGGCACGCTGTACTGAAGAGAATCAGCGTATGCTCGCTTATTCGGCATATACTCCAGTGCGTCTCGCTGCCCAAGCGGAAGGTATATATACAAAATACGACAAGCAAAGCTATGCTATCATCATCCTCCTTCACACAATGACACGTACAGCTAAGTTAAATTTCTGCGTTTTTGAATAATAATACTTTTATTCTAATCTTAACTTGAAGCTTTGGACAAACTGCACAGAAACAAATAGTTGATATTAGTATTTCTATTATGAAATACAAGGCAGAAGTTTACGGAAAGATGGAAGCTTGATGATACGAGCAATTCTTGACAACAGAGTGCTGCTGGAGTGAACGTTTCAACAAGCGAACTTCTTTAAGAATGCAGCTTGAGGACAAGTCAGCTTGCCGAAACTCTTGTCGTGGCACCCCTTCTTAGGGAAATTTCCATCTTTTCCTACACACTGCCCCTCAAAATTAAAACTAACTAGATTCCTCTCTGTGTGTCCATCTTTATGCTTCACGTTTTTTGCATTTATGTAGCCAATTTCCCGCTTGATATATCTCGTGGTGTGCATCCACCTGTCTGTGGTGCAGGCGAAGAGAAGGCCCTGATGCTTCCCGCTGTGATCCAGTCTAAGCTGGTGACGCGGCTGCAAGAGGGTACCGAGTACGCCGTGGTCCTCGCGGCAGTCTACCCGAACGTGCAGATAGCGGCCGCACCCAAGCTCGCAGTGCGCACCGCCCTGCCCGTCGCCGAGCTGCCCGTGGGCGACGACTCCTACCTGGACAATAAAATCCGTGAGTGCACTCTTTCTGCCAACACGATACCATCAAGACATCCTTATTCATTTTCTACAAAAGTGAACATTTGGGGCAATTAACGTCCTCATTAGTCTCAATTTTTAGCATTGGCTAAGGGGTGTTATATGAGATAATGACAGGTTGCAGAAAACAAAGGCACGGAGGTAAATTAGAAATGCGTAAAAGCCAATAGGCAAGGTAAGAAGACTCTGAGGAGACATACCACTCTGTGAAGTTGGAAGACCGTGGAAGCTGTACCCATCCACAGGGAGGTTAAGGAAAAGCACACGTTTTTTGTAGTTTTTTAACTATTGATACTAGTAAGGATGATAGCATTGTGATTGCTGTGATGCAAGCTGTCTGGTTCACTTGCAACCCTTGATTGATTGATATCTAAGGTTTAACGTCCCAAAACCACCAAATGATTATGAGAGACGCCGTAGGGGAGGGCTCCGGAAATTTCACCTACAACCCTAGGCAGCTGCGAAAGGTATTTCTACATTAGTACATTCCTGAGAATTGGAAAGAGGGATTAAAAAAAACTGCGTACTTGTAGCGGTCAAGCAATGCGAGTGACTTAAATTAGTGCGGCACTTCAAGCTTTTTACCATAAGCTGAATCAACCATTTTATGGCTGTTTTTAAGATGTCCATATTCATAAGAACAAGAGTGCCGCTCCTAGACATACGCCGATACCTTAATCACTAATAAATTAGTGACCTCTTTGCTTAGCATAGCACAGACGTGGACTTGCATTCACTGACGTTGGTGACCAAGTGCATGGTCTCTATAACGCAGCCCTACATTCAGCCCTTTGGCAGAGATATTATTACTACTTGGGCTGACTCTGGCGTCTTCTGTTTCATTTGGGGTCAGGAACAGACAGGTAGCAGGGCAAGATGCCTGCACATACTACGCGTACTGCCTGTTTAAAGTGTTCATTAACCAACCAAGTAGCAAATTTATACGGCACGTGCACAATTACAGCGAGTTGTCCTAGCCGTTTTTGCTTTCCCAAAATGAAAACCAGCAGATCTATCTCTTCATAAATGGCGCTCAAACAAAGGCGTTATTTAAACAAAAAGTTCAAGACAACTATATAGCGTGCGCGTATTTGTCACTCTTTTTACCGATGGACACGTCTTTCATCAATGAGAAAGTTCTCACTCATCACGATGCAGCTTGTATACACTTAACGTATAACGAAGCTTGGACCTGTAAAATGTCATCGACTACTTTCGGGTGGGCTTATTTAGAAATGCGACACGATTGCTCCATATTATGTATTCTCTAGCTTCGCTATAGATGAAAAGGGCAGTCATGTTGCGTGGCGCTCAGCATAGGCTCCAAATATTTTTATGCTTTATTAGCTTTCATTTCTTTACATGCTTTGTATTTCGAACTGAACAAATCCCAACATCCACAAAATTGAAGTTTAACTCGGAAATTGAAACTGTGACTGCTGATAAGGGAGAGGAGAAAGAAATAGACGCAAAAACGGGATAGCAATAACAGCAATTGCCTTATCTCTCACCAGTATGCTCTTCAGCACTACAAAAGCTACGGGGTCTAAAACAACAAAACATATTTGCAGATATAATTACCTCACAACTGGCACAGTGGTTGAAACCGTTACGCTTGTTTCGCGCGTGTTACGTCACATCAATGCGTGTTTAGTCTTCTTCGCATTGATGTCATATGCCTTTAATTTCTTTATCATGTACTGCCGGTAAATGTGGTTACAAATCAAAATTGCAGCGCCTATGCAAGCAGGACCGCCCGCTTCTATTTGAACTTGCGGTCGCTATTCGCCCACTTCGCTGACGGCAACAAATAAGTGGTGAAATGAGGCATCGCTTTGTGTCATCTTACGCCGAGCATGAAGGTTCAGGGACGAAAGATATTTGGTAGTAATTAACGCGATACGTTGTTTGTTTAGCCACGCCTGCTAAACAATCAGCATGCCGACAGCGATTCACCGCAGCGGTGAAATAACGTCGGGTCTATAGCACTGAGAAAGGCTCTCCAACAAAAATATTGAAAGTTTTGTAATACTGCTAGTATAACTGATATGAAAAGTAACCAGTAACGTAACCATTACCGAAAAATAGTAACAAAAATACGTTATCTGTTAGAGTTGATTGAATAATATGTTGGATTTAACGTCCCAAAACCACCCTATGATTATGAGAGACGCCATAGTGGAGGGCTTCGTAAATTTCGACCACCTGGGGTTCTTTAACGTGCACCCAAATTCGAGCACACGGGCCTACAACGATTCCGCCTTCATCGGAAATGCAGCCGCCGCATCCGGGATTCAATCCCTGTTGGAGTTCCAAAATAGCCACGAGTACTTAGTTACTGAACAAAAAATTGGCCCCGTATCTGCATGTTATCCGCAAATGTCGTCGAAAGACGATTGATTGATTGATTTGTGGAGTTTGACGTCCAAAAACCAGCATACTATTATGAGAGACACCGTAGTGGAGGGCTCCGGAAATTTTGACCAACTGGGGTTCTTTAACGTGCACCCAAATCTGAGTACACGGGCGTACAACATTTCCGTAGAAATGCGGCCGCCACAGCCGGGAATCGATCTCGCGACCTGCGTGTCAGCAGCCGAGTACCTTAGCCACTAGACCACCGTGGCGGGGCGAAAGATGATAGTCTTGCGTGTCGACAGAGTGAGCAAAACATTTATTTGATGTACTGCGTAAGAAAATCGGTCAATGGTATTCTGGAGGCATTGCGTTAGAGTGCCTCGAACGTGCAGCGAAGGCGAACGAGCGAATCAAGTCACGTCACACGTGAGACATGAGCGCTATCTGGCAGTTTTCTCGGAAAACGAAGCGCGTGGCTCTGAGACGGGTGCGCCCGTCTCAGGGGTGATTAGGTGTAGAACGCAAGGCGACGGGTAGGTGCCACCACCGTGTCGTCTTACCAAAGCGTTGGAAACACTCGCCTTTTTGTGCAATCGTTGAATGGTCAGCGCAGCGTGATAAACGCTACGGTCCTTAGAATTACTTATGTATGCTTTTTTCTAGTAAAAGACGCGCATACAGCAAATATACGTGTTGTTATAGTGCCAAAGATATGCGCAATAATTGCTTTTTAGTTATAAATCGCACAAGTATGAACGCTGAATCTTGAGCAACATTGGTGGGCGCAGTATGTGGTCGGCCGTTTGGGGTATCTGCTGGTGCCGTTCAGAGTACCCGATACCGTTAAGTGTGGACGAACAGACAAATGTAAAGACAGACAGACCAAAATTTTTGCGTCGAAGGTCCCCAAGAAAGACTATTGTCTTTAGAAGTAACGCGTTACCGGCAACTCCGTTATTTGCAATGCGTTACCGCCAATACTGTAGCGTAGTAGCATCTGACGCTTGTCGCGAACTAAAATGCTCAAGTAAGGCACGATAGGAAATGCGTGCACGGTCACTGGGGGCTGATCGGGTGAGCGCCAGAACAAGCCAGCACAGCGAGGGTTCCAATCCTGCTTCTTTTCCTTCCGCTCTCTCACTCTGCTTTCCTCATTCTCTCGGGTGTCCGGAGGTTAAGCCTAGGCGAGATCCCGTGTGCGTTCCTGCTCCATTTTCTCCGCTTTCCTGCCAGAGGGTAAGCCGTTGAAGGTGCGCCAGGGACACGAAGAAAAGGCTGCCGTTCTTGTGTGCCAGCGTATACCTGTGCCGGGAAAGGCTTGTTGGCCGAAGTGGTCTAGGCGAGCGCGCACTCTTAAAGAAAAGGCGAGCGCCGTGTTTTATAGCGCACTTGAAGCGGAAAAGATGACGCGTAAATCTCTTCCCGTGAGAGCACCCAATGAGCGACATTCTCGCGTCTGCTGCTCATGGCTGAATAGTACACATTTAAAAAAAGAGTAGCACAGTAGACAACTGCGAGCTTTTACAGCTTGCGAACACATACCGTTCTACGTGGAGTTGCTTTTTTTTTTTTTTTACAAAACTCTTTTATGTCGCGATCCACCACGGCTCCACTGACGCACGTCGGACACGGATATGCTGTCGTTGGAAAATATACACTAACAGACAACAAAGAAAAACTAGAATCACTAACGAGATCGCTGCTGCTCGGCTGCTGACCCAATGGTCGTGGATTCAACCACTGCCGCGGCGGTCGTATTTCGATGGAGGCGAGATGGTCGAGGTCCGTGTACTCTTTAATGTCAGTGCACGTTAGAGAATACCATATGGTCAAAATTTCTCGAGCACTCCACTATGGCGCCTCTCATAACATGTCGTGTGTATGGGACGTAAAACCCCAGATATTAAATGCGAAGCATTGCGTACTGCAAGTACTTTTGGCGTCTATCTATCTATCTATCTATCTATCTATCTATCTATCTATCTATCTATCTATCTATCTATCTATCTATCTGTCTGTCTGTCTGTCTGTCTGTCTGTCTGTCTGTCTGTCTGTCTGTCTGTCTGTCTGTCTGTCTATCTGTCTTCTATCTATCTATCTATCTATCTATCTATCTATCTATCTATCTATCTATCTATCTATCTATCTATCTATCTATCTATATATATATATATATCTATCTATCTATCTATCCACTTACGTTTGGGTGCTCTCGTGGTCACCCTTTAAGCTTGGCGTGAACCAAAATCAGCAAGAAAGGGTAAGATGGTTTGACGGATATGATGTGATGTGCTGGTCAAGACAAGAATAATGTCACAATCCAGTCAAGTACGTCGTCAAACACTTCACGCCAAACAGTGGCACATATCCACGGGCAGGTAGGTGCCACAGGTGATTGACGCTTGGTATTTGCCCCGAAATAACGATAAAACACATGGGCAACTTAACTCGCGAGCGTAAAGAAATACCCGACATTGGTAGCGTCGACCCGAGGAATGCAAAGAATAAATGCCAGGGTCCCAGCTGGAATCAAACTCAAGCATTCTGCGTGGCAATGAAACATTTTATTACAGAGCTAAGCCAGGTCTTGGAACTACTTTTCAAATAAACGCTAATCTTCGTGAAACGTCAATGGTGGTTGCAGTGCTGCTTACCCAATTTTATGAACATTACGTATGTACTCTTTTGATACTTGCCGCCACGTCAGGCTAACGGAAATTGTGGTTAGTTGTCATGTGCTGAAGTTGATTTATGTGGCAGTATGCAAGGGCCAGCATCCTCGCGAGCATCAGCGCTTCATATCAGCTTCTGGTGTTGCTAATACGCATGTTCCAGTTGACATCGTTGTGCAAGTGCAAACAACTGGCTATATAAACATCTGCAACTCTTCAAGATATGTCTGTGCGTGCAACATTTGCAGATATATTTAGCGTCATTTGATGACGTGTCGCTCAATGAAAAATGCAACATGGTCACCTTCCCTCTGTAAGCTTCGCATAACGTCGATCACCAGGTACGTGGGAAATGCCGATTTTTTTTTTTTCGGACTTCTATGTACTATGCCTCATTCCTTTCTAAAGTATTCCTCGTTTATTTTGGCAACACAACATTGCTGTTTGTACACTAGCAACAGTTGCGTGTAGAGAGTGCTGAAGGATTTATGCGATGTGTTTAAACGTTAGCAGAGCTGAGCACACATGTGAGACCAGCCAAGCTGCGCTGATTATACGTCGTCCTCTGGGTGGTAGACGTTCTCTCTCTTCTTTATTATCACCTCAACAATATGCGTGCTGAAATATTTCATTATCGTTGTTGTTATCCAGCCAAACTGTTCTTTGATCGATTCTCACTCGTATAGACCATTCTCCCAGGAGCCCGAGAAACAACCGCTGTTCGTCCAGCACCGCGTTCGATGGCCCCAGCAGTGCTTCGTCCGGAAAAGCAATAATCACCGGTCCATTGCCCGCGGCTAGTCGCGGAATGACGCCGCGAAGGCTCAATGGGGCGTCGCGTGGCCGCCTCGCTATGTCCCGGTTCGCCTTAGCCGATGATCGAATTATTGTCTTTCGCACGCGGAGTGCACTAACTCCAGTGCCGCCAGGGACGGTGTTAAAAAAGCACCGCTCAAACGGAGTGTTTATGTTTGACGTTTGTATAGTAGCGCGTGAGACCGGCACTGGTTGCCCTCGGTTCCGTAACATCGTTGTCCGTGCTCACGTACAATTGCACTTTCCTAGAACCCACCATGCCTCTACATCGTAGGTGTGTGTGTGAGCTGGGTGTTGGAGGCCGATGCGTGTGTGCGTCTGTTTCGTTTGTTGAATAGTGGGGACATGAAAGATGTACATAGACTAGGGACCGTGACTTACGTTAACCAACGATAAAGCTGAAGAGAAATGCTACAGGATAATGCTAAAGGGAAATGTGAAATTCACAATTATGGTATCAAATTCGGACGCATGTCCTCTCACCCAGCAACACAATTCTTTCACGCCGATCACTGACTGTAAAAAAAAGGTTGTAAAAAATAAAAGAAACGAACAGCTTGGCTAACACTAACTGCGACACCCTATATATTTATTTATTCAAGTGCATCACAGGTTGCAATTTCAAACGTTATGTAACGGGGTCATACCTAATAATTCGAACAGCATAGATCATACGTTAGTGAAACTATAAACGGGTAAGTTGTACAAAGTGAATACTGAATATATTTTAATACGCTTAACACATTATACTAGTAGTAATACTAATCTAATATATATGCTTCATTGTGATTAGTATCAGGTAACTAGAAGAAATTGGCATAATCAGTATGCATAGGTGAGCGTGTACACTGCTTTTGTCTTCAGTCGTAAACGGATGACTTCATGGAGATCCCCTTTCGTTGGCGTGCAGAGTGCAACTGCAGCGAGGAAGGCATGGTGGCGTGCACGCGGTCGGCGCTGCAGGACGTGGCGTGCAGCTGCTTCCCGAGCTACTCGGGCCGCTGGTGCGAGTCGTGCGCCAGCGGCTTCTTCCGGGTGGGCAAGCGGTGCGCCGCCTGCCCTTGCAACAATGCCACATCGACTGGCGAGTGCGAGGCAGGCACCGGAAGCGAGAGCGTCTCGTGCCGCTCCTGCCTGCCGGGACACCGGGGACCCCTGTGCTCGGCCTGCGCGGCAGGTTACCACTGGAAGGGCGACCACTGCGAGCCCATCAGCTGCCTCAGCTTTGCCATGTGCGCCCGCGAGCCGGACAACCCTGGCTGCCGAGACTGCCACCTCGTCCAGAACAGTCTGCCGCCGGTCGCTCAGAAGAGCTCAGGTACGTACACACTCGCAAATGCTTCATGTGCGGTAATGTACGATTGTAGACTAGGGCACGCCTTGAAGGCGCGACCTTATATAAGAAGTCACGCAGTTCTCACGCGCTGTGGGATTCGGTAAAAGCGAAGCTTAGACGAGGGAGAAAAAAGTGCGTTTCTTGATTAGAAATGCGTGGCGCATTTTAAAGAACAAAGCGCCTCCTGAAAGTCATTCGTCAGGATGTATCTTGCAGAACAAGAGTAAGGTTTATTCGAGAGGCAATATTTGCGAGTGAACAATGTTGGGTCATACCTTCAATTTCGTTATAAATCACGAGACTCTGCCTTTGACGCCGAGAACTTTGCAACCAAAGCCGTTATTCCTAGTACTGTGCGAAGGTAGCGAACTTGAAATCATGCCAGAAACGCGGTCAGCCACGTACACTGCCTTGTCTGGTGCGAACGAAAGACATTGTATTCCCTCCCAATAGTGACGCCCTTTATGCATGGCAAATGTTGCTGTATTGAAATAAAGCTTAGAGCTCCGCCGCGGTGTATTGCGGTTATGGCACTGGACTGCTAACTCGATGGTCGCGGGATAGAATCCCGCCTGTGGCGGCTGCATTTTCGATGGTGGCAAAAATGTTTGAGGCCCATGTGCATAGATTTAGGTGCACGTTAAAGAACTCCAGGTAGTCAAAAGTTTCGGATCCCTCCACTACGGCGTCTCACATATTCATATCGTGGTTTTTGGGACGTTAAACTCTGCTTCATTGTTAATAAACTTCGCTCTAAAAGCCTTTATTAGCGTTGGCTTCTCCGCAACAAGCATCTTTTTGTGGTAGAGCCTGCTTTGGCTATTCGTTTAACTATAATGGCTGTACTGAACGGGAGTGGAACCGAGACCCGTACCGTATTAACTGCAAGATTCGTTGTAAGCAGGTAATCACTAAAGTGAAAAAAGTACATGAGCCAGAATCAAATGAGCCATGTCACCGCTTTTTAGACCAACCCAGCCACCATGAGTTCGTATGCCTGAATGAGCAGAAAATCGAATATTTTACGAATAAGCGTTCCGCGCGTTGAAATCTAGTAAGTTTGCAATAGCACCGTAGCAACATGTCCAAAGATAGGTGGGGCATGGCGAATGACAACACAAGCTAAAAATATCCACGCCGTTGTCTGCAACACTTTGGCCTTCGGTTAGCAAGAAATGCCTTCTTTAATACAGCAGTCTGCGTTTGCAGCCTATTCCGTGCATATTGAAAATCAACAGCAAACAGCGCATTTTGCGGGCATATAATAAGTGTAATTTTTTTCCGTATAATATCTCAGTAACGAATTTAGTATGTCGACGATTTTTTGCTTTCAAATAGGGACGTTTTATGAGTGATGAGGCTGGGGTGAAAAATGCTAAAAAACCATTGCGCTTACTCACGTGGCTCTACACGCGAAACTATAGGCCACGGTAGATAATAAGAAAGGACTTCTATTCTTGAAAATATGCTTTCAGTATAAATAACTATTGTATGCAGCTTTGTTTAAATCAGTCTTATTGGTAGACTTAGCTTTAAATGAAAAAATGAACCACTGCTTTCAAACTCAGTAATAAGTAAAACTTCTTGTAATAAGGCGCGTACCCCACCCCCAAATAATCACAAAAAAGAAGAAAAGTTTAAGTTTTCTAGCTCGTGCGGTCATCTGACTTTCCAGCCAAAGCGTTTTGCGTAAGTTAAGATGCTGGAGAGCACGTACTTTCAACTTTCGAGGCATGTACGAGCGGCGCAAAAGCTCCAGTTCCATAATGACTTAACTAGATACTTGTAGGTCAAAGATGTGTTTTCTACCGTACTAATGTAGTAATGTTTTTTTCTCCCGTATCAAGTTAGGGCCTTTCATTTCTCCGACGAACACATTTGTCTCTTCACCAAGCGTCCTTTCGTCTGCCGTCTAAACCTCAGAAATCAGCCAGTTCGTAGACATCTGTGCTGTAGAATTCTGACATGCACTGCCGACAGCGCTCCTTCGTTGAAGTCTATAATTGGCTTCGCGGAATCAAGAGCGGGAACGAAATACTCTGAGTTTGCACCACTTGTTTTTTTTTTACTGGCTGGTCGTAATCTTTATAACACCTTCGAAACTCAACTGAGCCTGGTTAACATACCTGGCTTTTTTTGTCACTTTTTCTCTCTCTCTTTATTTTTCGTCAAAAAACTGGTCTGCACCATTTTTTTTATTTGTTCGTGCCGAGCATATTAGCGGGTGGTCATTCAAGCTTAAAAGGTTTGAAATACCATGGCCACACTCGTTAATCACATTGATCTCCCCTTCGTATGCACACTACCTAATTGTAGTATACCTTTTTTTTCATAGTTAAAAGATATCAACGCACGCAGCTACGACGCGCAACGGCACTGTGCCGTTTCTGTTCAACAGCACAAAAGTAACGACGATTGATTGATATCTGGGGTTAACGTCCCAAAACCACCATATGATTATGAGAGACGCCGTAGTGGAGGGCTCCGGAAATTTCGACCACCTGGGGTTCTTTAACGTGAAACCAAATCTGAGCACGCGGGCCTACATCATTTCCGCCTCCTTCGGAAATGCAGCTGCCGCAGCCGGGATTCGATCCCGTGACCTGCGGTTCAGCAGCCGAGTACCTCAACCACTAGACCACCGTGGTGAGGCGCGCACAAAAGTACGTAACAGAAGTTTGTGGCCATGATCTTCGAAGTTACAAGGGCAGCGCCGCCAGAAAACATTTAACACCGCGGTGTGTACAGCCCACGTTCGACAAATAATGTCTTGTATATTCTTTAAAACTTAAATAAAAGTGAGGCATTCAAGCAAACAGTCTACACTAGTCATATCACGTGCGCTGCGTAGCCAACGGTGTTAAATGTTTTGTGACTGCGTGTTTTAGATGCGGAAGCATCTTATACTCGCGCCTTGTAGTGCGCCGTCCGCACCGCTTCTCGAACATTCGACAGCTGACGCGCGCGCATGCGCCGTCGCGCCGTCGCCCACTCTTCCACCATCTGTGCATCCCTTCCTCCTCTACACACCGCGCGCGCTTCACTCCTCCACCATCTGTGCACCCTTCCTCCTCTACACACCGCGTTCGACATCTACAATTCTCCTGATTCTCCAGTGGACGCGCATGTGGCGTCGCGCTTCGAGAACATTCAACAGCTGACAGTGCATGCGCCGTCGTGCTGTATATATACTCAAGGTCGGCGCTCGCTCGCTCAGTTGCCGCTCGTCGGTTGGTTTGTACGGCGCGTCGACGTCCAAGGTCGCGGTGAAATGAATTCCAACGAATCCACAAACACAATGATCGACGTCCCTTCGACCAGCGCCGCCCTTTCGCATACGTGTGTACGTGTTCACTCATTTAACACCCCCTCCTACAACCACGTTAACCAATTTAGCCATCGACCCAAGTAAGTCGCAATTTAACACCCCATTTCACAACCACGTTAACCAATTTAGCCATCGACCCAAGTAAGTCGCACTTTAACACCCCGTTAACCAATTATATGCTCCGCATCCTCCTCAGTGTTCCCCCGAGGGAAGCTGCGGGCAATTTTTTTTGACCTCATATCACAGTTTAGCGCATACGAGTGCGCTCGTGCAGAATGACTATGCTATTATGCACGATAGGAGCGTGGCACCCTACGTTCCATCCATGCTTCATCGTAAAATAGTAATCGTGGTTTACCGTTGCTTTTGCATCGCATCACGATCGCAAACAGCAACCGAGCGAATGACTTGACCTTGAAAGTAACAGCTCTTTTTCAGGCTTTTTCAAGCGCAATGCTACACACAGCCACGCCAATCGCCACACGGCAGTGCGTGTCAACTTGCGCGACGCATTTCTTGTATTCTTTCAGCGTTTTCGTAGCTGTATCTAAATATTGAAGTAAAGAGTGCCCGTAGCTGCAGAGTAAAGTTGCAAGTTGTTGGTATGGCATATTTGAATGACATTGGTAGCGCAAGGTAACGGGACACACACACACGAAAAAAAAAACAGGGAGACGCACACATGCTACACTTCCAACGAGTGGTTTATTTCTGGGCACCATGAGGTTATTATACACATTTTGGCTGGTAGTGCATGTATCACCAATCTGTCGATTGTGCTCTAAAAAAAACGAGTAACAATTCCTGCGCATGAGCTGAAAGGTGCGATAAATGAAGCTTGTGTTTCATTTTTTCGATATAGTTCGCTTGCATGATTATCGGATGAAATGTGTTAGCGAAATGCTTGTGCTCTCACACGTGTAAGTTGCAGCTGTGTGAAAAAAAAAAGGTGTGCGAAAAAAAAAGAACGTTGCGCTATCATTGCTATTCAATGTACCTGCAGAAGTTGGCTTCCATAAGAGTTTTTCTTTCTTTTTTTAATTACCGATGCTCGCGAACCTGCCGTTCACAATGTAAATCAGTGATCGCTGAGAACAGGACTTGTGCTAGAGAACGTAAGTGAACCCAGGATCATAGGGAATTCGGCTGGGCGCTTCCGCGCTCTGGCTCAGATTGCAGCAGTGAGAAGCCCGCTTTTGATCCGAGCCAGAGATCGCGTGTCTGAGCCGAACGTGCAGTCGCTGGCCAGAGCAGTCGAGAGCTGGTGGAAGAAACACGTCAGCGTTTATTTCATTGCAAACAGTCGAGATGCGGGAGTCACGAGTTCAGATCTCGGTCGCGCTCCGACGTCAAAGTCAGAGCAGCTCGCGGTGTTCTAGTTCGATCGTGGTGCTCTGAAAGAACCCGCCTCTCAAAGAGCGTACTCAGAACGCTCAATTTCGACCAGGTGTACGTGGCGTGCCTCGCCAGAGTGCTCTAGTAAAGAACCAATCGAATGTACCTTCAGATTCTATCGGCTTCCGACAATTTCACGCTAGTTATGCTAACATCGTTCATTCATTTTGGTAGCTATTGTCGCGTCTTCACGAAAGTATACATAGTCTTGGTCTTTAGACTAAGTAGAGATGCTGTGAAAGGGCTCTGACGGTGAGCC